ACATCAAACAATATTCAAATGATATAAGCAACTGTATTTTTGTTTTAGGAAGAGAGTACATTTCATGATTAAGTCAAATAGGAAGATATAATCGAATATTTTGAAATTCTTCCTGGTATGAATGTCCATTTATTCTTCTTTCATAAAAATCAATAGAAGTTGATCTAAAATGTTCTGTAATGAAATTTTACTTCTGGGAAATCAAAATCTAAAACTATACGGCCTAGTTACTCATTGCTTGAGTAGGTTTCGACGGATTATCGCTTCAATAACAACAACTCCTTCGTTTACAATATGATATTCATCAAAGTGATTGATAAAACCGACGGAAACTTAGATATGCAACCTTTCATATAATGATCTATCAAACTTGAATGAAAATCAACAATCGTATGTCACTGAGGTATGCGTCAAAAATAAAATTCTATAGCGAAGTCAATAGCTTTATTTAGCATAAACTGCACACGACAAGCACAAGGGTGTGGGTGTGGGTGGGTGTGTGGGTTGTGCATGATTGCCATGTCTCACACCCACACCCACACCCAGCGCTTGGTTTCCGATAAAATTTATGATTTATATTATCGATGAAAAATTTCTCTAACCCTCTTTGTCTGGCAATCGTGTCGTTGTAATGAGCACTTTTTAAAGTTATCTTTTTCTATTAAAAAATCACTTTAGCTAAGACAATATTATTGGCTACATCATTTTCCCCAGAAAAAATCACATTATGATTACTGTTTTTCATTTTTCAGCTGAATAAACTATGCGTATACTATTGGCTTGCAAGCAACACTCCACACGTTTACAAAAGCAAGCATGTTTTCTCCACACTATTACATTACTACTTTTTTCTAAATCGTTCTTTCTGTAAAAATTCACATTTCCATTTCAACACAACATTATTCTGTGGAGGGTTACATGAATTTCGGTCCAAAGAATTTTCGGTCTCAAAAAAAAGTTTCAATCATAAAATTGAGTCATTTTCATTCTCAATTCATATTGGGCCGAAAATCCGAGCTTCCATATTAGCAATACGCTTCCCCTCCATTGAGTTTTGGTGGTTTCTGCAATGGTAAATAAGGAATTTTTGATAGTTTTTCTCATCAAGATACGATGGTAAAACAAAATAAATGTTATATTGGAAGTCAGCATTTGAAACTGGATTGAGTAAAATATATTTAAGCGGTGTGTTTTTCCTATAATAAATCACCATTGCTCCTTAAGAGTTCACTTGATAGAAGTTTTGCTCTGGAGGGGTCTCTGAAGTTACTTTTACACAGGAACTTTTTTTTTCTAAAATGAATTTGATCACAAGAAGTTTTGATACTGACTCCAAATATCGCATTTGTTTTGCTTTACAATCGTATCATTATAATGAGAACGTTTTAAAACTATTTTTCCTATTAAAAATTCACTTAAGTTCATGCACTATTTTCGAGATAAGTGAGTCCCGCTTTGATCTAAAGGTTAACTTTATTTTTCCTATATGCTTACTATTATATAAGAAATCAGAATTTACGTCGCATACGTATATAAAACTAACTGTGTCATTTCTGTATTTCAAAGATTAACAGTAGATACCAGAGGTTCAACCAGGCTGCGTTTTTTGCAGGCCTGGCCGGTCTGGGACAGGCTTCTGTATTTCAAACCTGCCTGTGTCTGCCTGCCTGGCCTGTTTGGAAAGGCCTGTGTACTTTCTCTTTATGTCAATATCATTACCAGGGGCGTCTCGCGCAACCAAAAGTTGACGGGGTTTCATATAATCCTACTTTCAAAAAATGTTGGAAGTGTAGCTAGTGTTTTCAGGTCTTCCAAATTTTTGCGATTTTTTTCTGCATTATCAGAATGTTTTTCTACATCTTTTGAGTTTGTGTCATTTTTTCGCTTTTTCAGAGTTTTTTCGAGATTTTATCGAAATTTTCAGGCTTTTTTCGGGATTCATTCAGATTTTTTTGTGATTTCTTCGAGATTTTCTGAATCTTTTTTAGATTTTTTCAGGATTATTTAGAGATTTTTAGATTTTTCGAGGTTTTTCAGAGTTTTACGGGATTTTAAGATTTGAATTCGAGATTTTCGAGTTTTACATCCGATAACAGTCAGGAGAACTTATAAAAATCGTGCTTAACATAGTTTAAGTTTCATTTTGTAAAAACAATGTAAGACAATTTTTCGAATATTCGATGGGGATTACACACACATCTTGACGATGACGATGATAGAATAGAAATCTATAGTTTACTCTACTTTTGAACGAGGTGGAGGATCATCAATAGAGATGTTAGATTAAAGATCGATCTCACCCATTTTACGAAGAAAGACAATTCAAATTTTAAACAACAATTAGTAATAAAAACGTATAGATAAGTGAGAACATGAAGAGTGAATAGATACGGAAGAGGAACTATGTGATTTGAACTGACCATTAGTAATCACCTCGATCAAATACAATGAAGACAGAACATTATTCTATATTTCTATAGATTGCTAGAGTTTTCCTCTCAATTTGTGAGAAAAAATTTCTATTGAAGAAAAAATTATATTTTTAAAGAATATAGGTAGGCCAGGCCTAAGAAATGTGACCTATGCCTGTGACAGACAGGCCTAGTGGCCTGGTTGGACCTCTCCTCTGGTAGATACACTGTAAAAAATGTGTCGTTAACCACTCATAAATTAAAACTAACTTTACTCATGTTAGACTATTTAATCCAAGTAAATAAACGATATTTTGCTTTTGAAATAACTGATTTCGTACAGTTTTTGATAGTGTATCCTTTGCTATCTTACTTGAAAATTTTTCTAATTTACTCAAGTCCATCGTCGGTGAGCACTGATGAATCGATTCATCTCTATCCTTCCGATAGTTCGTATAATTAGTGCTGAAAATCGATATGGACTAGCTCCACTATAGGACACCCAAAGAACCTATAAATTTGGATTCAATCGATCTAAATGATGGCCTTTAGAATTTGCATAAAAAATGCGAGTTTAAAATGTTGATCAGTATCTTACTTTCTTGACTATCTCATGCACTCTCTCGTAAGAAACGGATTAAAAACACAGATTCCTTGACCTCGATTTTCTTTGTTACAGCTTTATTAAAAATCATTATTGCTTGAGATCCGTTTTTGTAATCTAGCAATTGGATTGAGTGTGGGTGTGGGTGTGAGTATGAGTGTGTGCAGGTGTGATTTTGACCATTGTTGTCAAACTATATTCCTACATCACAACCATATCTATAGACAAAGCCATTCCCACTACACCCGCATCTTTAAACCCACAGTCACTGCCACACCCTCATACCCTCACACCCACACTCTCAGTAGTACAGAGTGGATAGTCGTGCGACTCCTAAGTACATGATTAAACCAGCAGAACGATGCCTTTCATTGTGAAGATGGTATCACACTGCTGATGTTTTATTGTCTGCAATATAATTGACTCTTTACTTTTAGGACTTGATGGATTTCGATTCAGTTCGTTTAACGAAGAAGGATTTGGATTCAGCTTGTTTAACAAAGAAGAATCTCGTGAATGTAATCGAAGCTTTACAAGCAAATGCTTACTGGTTCCATGAATTTAGTTACAATTTTGAATTAGATTCAGCTGGATATATGATAACATTCAGTGTAACTAGACGAATGGTAGCCGGAGCACAGGTGGCGTTGGTAATTGGAACTATAGGCTCTATTATGCTGACAAGTTATTTGACTCCATTAGTTATTTCAAATGTAAAGGATCTTTTGGAATTCGCTCTCAAAATGTTGGGAACTGATGCTGTCCAGAAATTGTTGCCAATATTATTCACCTAATTCTGAAGCTAACATCCGCCTACTATCTATAGGTTACCAAAAACATCTTTATTAAAATAACCACCATCCACATATGTATATTATCAACTCTGTTCAGGATAAGTCGGAAAATAAATAAATATAATAAAAAACATCACTGCTACTAAAAGAGTATATTTTCAGGTCATGCGCTGAGAACTGAAGTTTGTTGCTAAGACTTACTTACGAATATTCAAATATTGTAAATAATTTAGGTCCTTCCTATATTCTAGATTGAAATTTTTGTTTATTAACTATTGCATCAGAGTATGTGGCCATTTAAATGGGTGTCTCAGTTCAAAGACCGCGATGAAGCGATCAACTACGCTAAAACCTTACGATTTTATCATGCGTACGAACTGAATAATAATTCAGTATTGGTCTCCAATTATCTACCTGGCTACTCATTTGTTGCTTTATTATTTACGTGTCTTTACCTATATCTGAAGTCAAAGTATTCGACTTTTCAGCACCCAAATTAATTGCTATAAGCTAAAAACTTCTTAATACAAAATTTTCACGCTGGAATTTACGTTCTTGTAACCAATATACGAATGTTTAATAAACGTAAGAGATATACAGAAGTAACGTGAATCGGAGATCGATTCACTGGTTCCTAAACTGACAGAATTCACACATTCAAATATATGAACAGCGGACGAAGTGGGTTATTTCTGTCACCGATACTGAAATTTGGGTGTGGGTGTGGGTGCTTTAAGCATACCAATATCGGTCTCGACCTTGCTTAAGGATCTCGTCCGGTATTATAAGATAAAGAGCAATTTCAGAAGAAAATGACGAATATAAACAGCACAATGAGTGTATTGAAATGAAGCAACATTAGAGAAAAAAGAGACAATAACGAAATAATTTCAGAGAAGAGCGAGACGGTAGGGAAATAGTATAGAGTACGGGAAATGAACATTATACGTTGAAAAATTGCTAAGGTTCTGAACACGA